TACAAGCGACGAAGTCCGCTTGGCAGCTTCAACGTTGCCTGCCGACACTGCCACAGATCCAAACCGTCAAGGCATTCCCTGAGAGGGCCGAAGCCTGGGAACGTCAACGAAGATCCCATGACCTTCACCGCCGTCTCCCCCAAAGTTGCTTTCATCGACGGACTTCGAATAAACCTGTGCCATCTCTGTTTCACCCATTATCCTCGCATGGCGCATGTGTTGATGTCTTCCAGCAGAGGCATCTGCAAGCTCATGCTGGCAGCTACAGATCTCGCGTGCTCTGCAGAACGGCGAGCTGGAACGAGACACGGAGCTCCTTCGGAAGCCCCTTCGGAGATTTCCAGGGCCGAGAAAGCTGCACAGCCAAGCCCCTGCCCACGACCCAGCACAAATCCTATTATGCCCTGTGGCGCCCATGCAAGGAGGAGCCTCCCGCTGTGGAGAAGGTTGCAAGAAGGCTCAGCTCCAGGGGCTATCTGGAGCTTGCTCTGGCTTCGCCCAAAGGAAGAGCCCATGTCCCTCGGTAAGTCCGCCGTATTTCTTGTGCGCATTCATCGTGGGACATGACGAGGAGATTCGACAACATGAGAAGAGCATACAATTTGACAATTGAAAGAAAGCCGCCGTCAAACCATGGTTGCGACGGTCCAAAGAGAGCAGCCAGGTATGGCTGGAGGGCAATAAAGACACCGCGCAGAAAAGGGACAACACCGAAAACCAGCGGCGAAATTGCCAAAAGGAGGGGAAGAGTATGTCCGCTGGTACAGTGAAAGGTCATGGCAATCGGAATTGCAACTGCAAACAGCTAAACAGGGAAGACGTAACCGCCATGTAACAGCCAGCATGCACACCGCTGGGGACCAAGCGGAGAATTGTCTGGTGATATCGAAGGAAAGTGTCTGGGTGGAGGAAACAGCCGCAAGACCAGGTCTAGAGCAACAAATACACATCCCCCGAATTCGGTCTGAGTCTGTGTAGGCTTTGCCCGACATTGTGTATAGAGGCACCTTGACCAACGTTGTGCGCTGTAGGCGGTCTGCACCACACCTTTTGCACCCTAACATATTCTGACAGAATAGCATCCAGAGGCAATCATACTGCCACAAACTACCCACAGCTCCCATGCAACACTCGCGCCGGCAGTAGCGATCACCCACCCACGGCTGAAAGCTACATGCACACGCTCCGATTTCCGAGTGCGGCGAAGCCTCGGAGTCCGACGACATCGCGTTGCAGGGGTGCAGCTTTAGAGCGAGGACAGTCAAGTGTGCGCGCAGGTCCGATCAACAAGACCGGAAGCGATGTTCCAGCTCAGAACCCTGTAGGGCGTCCAGTTGTGGCAAAACGCGAGGTGGTGCCCCTTGCATTGCAGGTCCATGTCTGAAGTCGCAGGACCAGGAAAACGCACACGTGAAAAGCCAGCTGGCCAGCAAAAAAGTGCCGATAAACCGGGCACTGGTCTTGCTAACAGAACTCACAGTTCTGGCAGAATTGCCCAAAAAATGACAAGCCACTCTGTCCAGCCAACCATGTTGGGAACCTGGGGTAGCCAACGTTCACAGCCGAGTTCGTCCACGAAGTTGCTGACATTGACTGCCAATGCAACTCCACAAAGCTTGGATCAACACCAGTGTGTGCGTAAGTGGGGTCTCTACATCAACGTCTCGAAGTGCCATTTATCCTCGAGGGAAGTTCCGGTGTTGAAATAGGCCCTTGGCACATTGGGCCTTTGCAGCGTGCCTGGACCTACGGGAGTGGCTGCACTTGAGCAGATGCTGCGAGCTGTCCATCACACTTTGACGGCTTGGGAGCTGTGCAGTCCCTGCTCTGGCAGATTGCAATCCCAGTTTATGGGAAGAAAGTGGAAATGCCGCCTTAAGAAGCCTGAAGCCTGAAAATCCCAAAGTGCACCAGCTCCTGGGAGAGAGTCGCGTGCGATACTTGCCCTCGAGGCCCTTCTCGGTTCCTGGCAGCAGGCTGGCTTTGCTCAGGTGACTGCCACAGCTACGACAAGTAGGATGCATGGCTGGCAGTGTAAGGTCGGTTGAAACTGTCATGGTCAAAGCTTGCACACGCACTTACGATGACACAGCTTTCCAGCTACCATGCCAAAGCAACTGCATGGCTTTGGCTTGAAGCTTTGCGCCATAAACCCGGCTCACAGCTCCAAGCAGCCATTTCTTGTCCACAGCTACCTCCATAAACCCTGTTGAAGTAGCTCAGCTGCGCCAGTGAAAATCCACTCAGCATATGAGGCACCTCCCGGATAGGACTCGAAGCGGTCACGCAGCCTTTGTCAGATGGGAGAGCCCGAGGCCAACGCCAGCGGTTGCCCTCTCTTTGACAGCATATGAGCCTCCCTGGATCTGAATCGTCGAACTTGTGAATTTCAGGAACTCGAACGAAGCTTCAAACAAGTTGCAACTTGATCTAACCGCTGAGATCCACGCGTCTGCCGCTGACGCTCCAGACGCTCCAAGTGCCTGGGCGCCGAGGCATGAAGTGCAGATAGGTGCAGGAGCTGTCGGATTTTAACGGCGCATCCCTGGGTGCCAGTGCGTACACTGTGAACCGTCTTGAAATCGGCAGAGCCACGACAGGGACTCGCGTAGCCGCCGGAGGGACACAGGCTCCTCCTGTCCAGGGAGGGAGGGGCAGGCAGCTGCAATACAACGACCCTATCCAGTGTGGACAAGAGATCTCAGCCGGAAGCTCTCAAACCACCTTCCCGCTGTTATGCCCTGTAAAAGGCACGATTACATGTGGCAACACCACACCGGGCAGCAGAGTCCTGCGGACTTGATGACGTCATGCAACACACGGAAACGCCACGACAAACCAGGCTTGGGTCAGGCTTGTGGGATGCTCTGGGATGTTGCTCCAAGCATTCTGCAGCCATGCCAGGAAAGAAGCTTCGCGAAGGGGCATTACACCCTTTGCTCCGCTGTTTCGTAGCCGAGTGTGCTGAGAAAGTGCCAAGTTCAACAAGCAAAACACATGTGCTTCATCCTCATGCTTGAAAAAACTGCGAGGTGCATGCATTGAACTACAGCTCTCTCGGCTGTGCCTGCCCTGCTCCCTCTTCTAGGCAGGCTATCCCTCTTCTTCAGCACAAACAAGCCTCTCTCTCTCCTCTCTCTCTTTCTCTTTGTTTGGTTGGGTCAGGATGACCGAAGCTCCTGGCAGATGTGCACCCAACTGTTATGAAGCGGAGCAACGAACAACATGCACTCCCCAACAGCACAAACAAAGTGTGCAGCGTGCTGGCTACACTCCTACTTGTAGCTGGCCTCGTCCCATTTTCCGTTTTGAGCGCCGTTCCGTATCCCCGAGGGCTCCAGCGGCTTCTACCGAACCCACAACTCACAAGGAGAAGTCCCCCACACATACGAAAACAACACTCCTCCATACGTTGCTGACGACACAGGGCATGGCAGCACCGAACACAGCTTCAGCACCTGCGACAAGCCGGAGAAGTAATATGCAGTGGGCTCTTGCGTGCTGTCAGCAAGCCCACTCTACCTTGCCGCAGATGGTGAAGCTGTGAAGGAGCATCCGCTTCTCGGAACCCAAGAAGAAAACAGGCTCAACCCACCATTGACGTACCTGCCATAAGAACACGGCATTGCCTTGGGCCTCCCTTCCAATACAACGTGCTAACTCTAACTTACATCTCGAAGTTGTGCCTGTGGATCTTTTGGGCCGAGCGCCTGTTGACGTTCTGGAACGGGTGGGACTTCGATGTACTCAGCGCCCGGGAACTACTGGGCAAGGACCCTGTTGCTGGTCGACTCTGGACAGGCCCTACAGGCCCTACCTTTCCGAAAGCCTCGCTTATCCAGAGACGAGATGCAGTTTGAGATTCTCTCTGATTCGGCGAGTTTTCGGGTCTGAGTACATCCGGAAGCCTCGGCCAGCTATGTACAATGGCGCTGCATTCTAAACCATTCAGGTTGATCTTTCGCGTGACACCGGCGTTCAGCCAGCCACAGGATCAGAGAAGCAGGGTCAGGGTTGTGAGGACTTGCAGCCAAAGGATCAACCTTCTCTAATTTTGCCCTGCACTCGAGTCACGTCTCGCGCTGGCAGTGCTCACAAAAGGGGCAGCCTTTGCGATGCGTCTTTGGCACCTGTGCCACATGTTACGGCTCTTGCTATATCGGTTTTGGGTGGACTTGCATCAAGAAAATCTCCATTCATGGCTGGCCACCACAGGACTCTCTGTGTGCCTGGGATCTCGATTTCGACCGGCTCTCGCAGCGCCGGAGAGCGAACTGCGCCGCTGAGAGGCGGATGCTCAACTCCCGCTTCCTCGGGCGAAAACTCTGTGTTTAAAGCCTTCAGATCGCCAAGCCTGGATATTATGGGCACCTTCAGACCACGAGGATAAACAGAAGATTGCTCGGCTGCCGAGGCTCTCTTGAGTCAGCAGCAGGTTTCGAGTCTCGAGCTCCTGGCCAAAGGTTCCCGCAGCAAGTCGAAAGATCCAAACGAAGCAACATCGGAGCTGCACTAATGCGAAAAGCGGCATTGAAACTTCTACGATTCTACCTGAGCTATTGCTTGCGCGCCTCTTTTTGGCCTTTCATTTAGGGACCAATAGATTTCCCAACAAAACCCTCAACCCTCCCAGCTGTTACCTTAGACAAGGCACAACGACCTCTGCAGAGATGCCAAGACCGGACTCTGAGGCCACAAAAGCCCAAACCCGATAAGAACCGAGCCCTAAACCCTAAGCCAGACTAGAATTCAATCCCAAACTTCCTGCACCCCTTATAAAACCCGAAGTTGTCGTAGAACCGGAGCCCTCCTCGGCTTCGTCGAGGAGCTCCAGGAGCCGGCCCGAAGTCCCGGCCGCCTGCGGGACACGCAGCAGCGTGGACACAGTCTTACGTGCCTACATATATATATATACATATATATATACACATACATACATATACACATACATTTCGGCATTTCGAGGCAATCAGTGGTGTACGCTGCTCTAATTAAGTTGCATCGGCCTTGAGGCTCGCAAAAGGGCTACCCCAAGGGCTTTGCCAGAAAGTAGCCGGGGCCACGACAGAGCACAGACGTCCTTTACAAACGTGCTCCCACAGCTCTCCGACTTGACTGGGCATGAAGCAAAGCGGATCATCGAGCGCGGCTTCGGCTGTGCACTTTCCACTAGGCCTCGCTTTCGAAGCTTCCCAATCGGGGCCCAGGATTATCAGAAAGGGCTCAGGGGTCCCGCACTCCTGTCGACATAGAGCCAAAAGTGGGCTCCATTCGATCGTCTTCCGCTGCTCCTGGAACAGTTCCAGCGACATCTCCTTGGCGCCTGCTTCTTCTCGGGCGTTGGTGATCTGCTGGTGCCAAACCTCACGCTGTTGCAGCACCTCCAACACCCGATGGGAGGACTCCTCATCCCAAGGACTCTCTCCGGCGCCAATTAAGATATCCGCATCCGCTCCAGCTTGTAGTAGGACTTCACATTCCTCGCTGTAGTACAGCGGGTGTCGGCTGAGTACAGCCAAGAGTTTGTCCTGGAGGTCGCCGTTGGTTGACCAGATTCGCTGCTCCAGTAGGACCTCGCTGATCTCCCTGGAAGCACGCTTCTGTACTTCTGGCCAAACTTCATCACTGTCGTTCTCCTCGGGCTCGTAGATCTGGCATGTTGGTGCAAGGTTGTATTCCTCCACCGCTCGCTTTCTGTGGTCCTTACTTCCCTGCCCAGGTAGGGCAGTCTCCACCGTGTGACCCCCTCGCCAGAGTCGGTTGACACACGTCCTGGAAGTACGAAGGTGCACCCCTAGGCGCTCGGTGGACCAGAATTGCTTGCCACAGGCCCGGCAAATGGATCCAGCCACACACTTTCGGTGGGCAGCTTCGCGACCATGAGTCTTGTAAAAGTGGGCTCCCAAGCCCCCTTTTGACCGAAAGGTCTTAGAACATCCACGGCATCCCCAAGTCGTGGCCTCTTGGGTGACCCCTGGCATCTTTTCCCGGAGCTGTCTGTAGAAATGCCAGATACCAACAATCGCCGCATCCTGTCGACACTGTTTCTCATGTTCCTGGTGGAGGGCTTTCTTGACCCGGTACTTGAACTGGCCCCCCTGTTCCTTCAGGTAGTGCCACCAGCTGGGCCACTCAGCCACGGTAACACAAGGCAATTCCGGGAAATAAGTCCGCATCATTTCCAGGTCATGGCGAATCACTGCAAACCACTGTTGCTCCTGTTGGAGTACACCCCAGAGGAGATCCGGTCCAGTTTGCACCATTGCTGTCAATATCGTCAATCTGGACTTAACAGCATGGAGCTCAAGTCTCCAACGGTTGGTCGCAATGTGGACAAAAGGGGCCGGGATTGTGAAAATGCGGTCACCAGGGTAGCGAGGGCATAGAAGCTGTCGAAGGATCCGGGTATAGCCTTGGCAGAGCGACTTCCAAGCCTGTCCCTCCGGAATCCAGAGCGATAGGTTGAACATTGTAGAAAGGACCGACATCTCGAAGAGTTGAGCTCTGACATCCAGTGGGATCTGCACGTTCTGGAAGATGAGCTTCTTTCCCGAATCCATGGCTGAAGTTGCCATGGAAAGGCGACGTCGCATTTCGGGCTTCATGCTCAGCTTGGCATCCATGATACCTCCCAGGTGTACGTACTGCGGCGCCACCGGGATCTCAACCCCGAGGTCTTCCAGCACTAAGGTATTTCGCCCATGCCCAAAGTGGCTCTGCCTCGCCTTCTGGATCCCTTTACCAGTCAAGGCCACCACAATAGTGGTCTTGCCTCGCTTCAAATTGGGCTGTAGCCCAAAGTCCTGACAGATTCCAATCGTCAACGCAGCAAGACGTTTGCCTTTTCTCAGGCACCTTTCCGGGTCTGGGTCGTCGAAGGGGAGGGCCGTGTCATCGGCCCACGTCATATCATTCCAGCCGACCGTTTGCAAGAGCTGCAGTATCTGAATCTTGCAAATACATACAGCGAAGCATAAGCAATCGGTGCACGGACTTTGCTTCCAAGATGTAGCGGGTGCAGCTCAGCTTGTAGATGGCATTGGGTTTTGTTTCGCAACCATCTGTGAAATGTTTTCCCCACCACGCTGGAGATAAACAGAGACCTGTGATTCGCCGGGTTGGAAATCTCACCCGCCTGTTTCCAGGCGGAGTAAATAACTCCTCCCCTCCACTGCACCGGTTGTTGGAGACCCCATGCTGCTTTCAAGAATAAGGGCTCCAGAGCTGCAGCTGCCGACACTGGGCAGGCACGAAGGACCTCGCCTGGTATGCCATCCAAACCCATTGCCTTGTTGGTCGGAGCAGTACGGCAGATGCGTTTGATTTCCCCAACAGTTGGGAGATCGTCCGCTGTCCACACCACACCTTCCTCGTACTTCTGGGCAGCGTCCGGCATGTTAAGGAAGGCCGCCGGCTCCATGATCTTGCCATATTCCTGGTCTCCAAAATGTTGCAGCCAGATACGGTCATGGTCGTCCTGGTTTCGAGCCGGGTTTCCTTTGGCATCCAGCAGCAGGGGCAAGGGTCTGGATGATGGCATTCGCTTCCGTCCTCCGACACCATGTCGCTTTGCTCTTTGCAAGATGCTGGCGGCGCTTTGCGGGCCCTCGGCAACGATCGTTCTGAGGTACTGGGCCTTGCCAATGTTTATCGCCTGCTTGATGCGGTGGGTTGCATAGCCGATGGCACTGGCAGCCAGCTGGTAGAGTAGCCCATCTTTCCTCACCAGAGCTTCGACAAGCCCTTTGCCTCCCGTGGACCATTGATAGAAAGCTGCTGCAAGGCCTCGCGCCCACATAAACTTTCGTTGCCCCGTTCTTCGCTTCAGGGCAAGTTTTTGGTCTCGCCAGTGCCATACCTCCGCAGGGATGTAGGAGGTGCGGGTGATCTTCGGCGCCGGAAAGTGTGTCTCCAGCACCTGGCACACATACTCCTGCACTTGTTGGCAGTGGACATCGACATGTGTCCACCAGGGGGGCGGCTGATACGCCTCAAGTGCTGCTGTGAGGATGGCCTTGCCCTCTGGAGTGACCATCTTCTCTCGGTCATAGCGAGGCCTCCAGAGTTTTTGGGTCGCTGCATCACTCCAGGTTTGTCCCACCATGTCCATAGAGGCCACATAGTGGTCATCCCTGACAGCCGCCATGTCAATTTCATGATCTGTATAGCTGCGTACCTGCGAAACCCACGAGCTGCCTCCAACCACCAAGTAGTCAATCCTGTGGTACTGGCCATTGGCATGACAGAACGTTTCACTCGGGCCGCAATGGAGCTCATCGAAGGTGGCCGGGATCCATAAGTTGCTGGCCGTCAACATCTCAACCAAATGGGCTCCTGCCTCATCAGGCTCTCCATATTCCAGGGATCCAGTGGTCGGGTGGATGTTGCAAGGGACTCGTCCATTGCCGCCCATGCCACCGATGATGATGTCGGCCTTTCCCATGGCCTGCAGCTGCTGCTGTAGGGCAGTGAGGAAGGTCATTCGCTCATCTGCCTTATCGTGGTGGGGAACATGGGCAGAGAAAAGTACACATCTCATCCCACCTTTGGCAATTTCAAGGATCAACAGCCTGGGCTCCTGGGCCTTGATCGTGACATCATGCTCATCGACCTCCAGGGCCTGTCCGTTCACATCGAGGAAACCCATACGTCGATGTAGCCAAATCGCTGTTCCCCAATGCTTCTGCGAATCTGTGGAAAATCTCATATAGGTCCCTGGTGTCCACAACCCACCAGTACTCTTCGTTTCCTGGAGGAAGATGATGCGATAGCCTCCGGCTTCAAACTGGTCCGCCAGGAATTTGCTTTTGGCTCGTAGTCCCTGCACATTAATAGTGGCGCACTTCGTCGAAAAAGTGCTGCCCCTGGAAGTCCTCCCCATTCGGTTGTGGCTGGTCAGGGGGACCAGCTTTGCACTGTCCAATGGGCTTCCCTGTGGTGCAGTCTTGGGTGGGATGACAAGCCATTTCCCAGCCCTGCTTTGGATAACCTCACTCGGTCCCCATCGGGAGATCGTAGCCATCCATGACATATCAAGTCGTAGGAACGCTGCACAATTGTCACGAGGAGGGGCGGGTAGTTCGTTCATGGTTACAGCCACGGATTTTGCAGCCACATCAACCAGCTCATTCCATGGGTGTCCTCTATGGGAGTGCACGTGTTCGTAGCTGATCCGTTGCCCGGCAACCCCCTGGACATACCGGTCCAATGCTCTCAGCTTCGCCGTAAACTCGTCCTGCCCTTGCCAGAGGCCATTGGTTCCATAGCCCGCAACCTGACAGTCAAAGTAGATCTTGTAGCTGCTCGCCCTGAGGAAGTTGACACTCTGTCCAATCCACAGGAGGGCACCAGCCAAAGCCACCTGCTCAGCAAAGAGTGCAGGTGGTGACGAGGAGGACCAGATACTCGAACAGTTGCCTAGGATGCCCTCGCCAAATAATCCGAACAAGGCAAGGGCGCCTGCACATCTCAGGGAAACCGCCACAGCATAGCCGCTCTTCCGTGGCTTCGCAAAATATGAGCCGTCAACATAGAGATCCACCTCTACAGCGTCCTGATCCATTCCGGCTCGCAGGACCTTCGTCCAGTGGACCAAGTCTGACATGGCCTTTTTTGTCTCCTGCTTGAGCTTCGGCGGCAACTGCAGGTCACGAAACCAGTCCGGTGGCCAAACATGAAATGCCTGCCTGATGTCTTGGGGTTCGTGTGGGAGCTCCACAACATCCTCCTGCAGGTCAAAGCTCGGGCCAGGAACACATTTGGCCAGTTCCAGGGTGGCTGCTGTGGTACCACTCTCCTCCGGTGTGTGTTCCGGGCTACGTCTCGGGCTACGGCTTCGTTGCCGATTGACCGGTTCCGGCGGAGGGGGTCCATGCGGGCCCGGTCCTTGTGGGGGGCTTCCTATGGACAAATCAGAGGATCGCAGCACTGATTCTTCATCCTCTTCCATGTCCTCGTCGGGTTCTGTATCATCATCATCACTCTCAGTGTCCGTGATGTCTTCTGTGCGGCGGAGGGAGATCTCCAGGGTATCTCCGTCGTTGACTCGGAGGTTGTACTTCCCCGGATTTTCTTGCCACCCTTGACTACGATCGAAAAGTCAGGGAGGACATCCACCGCCAGGTCCTCCACGTATTGGCCCGGGCAGAACTCATTGCCATAGACAGCAACCCATTGGGGCCATCGCCCTACTCCCCGCAAATCCAGGATGATGATTCGGTAGAGTGGGGTCGGGAAGATCTCCTGGTCTGCCACTGCCACGATCGAGTGGATGCGTTTGCCAAGGAGACATAGATTGCGAATCCTGTACGTTGGTGCGCGCAGCCAGGTATTCTCAGGATTCAGCCCAAAGACACGGCACGCCACATCCATCGGGGTGAACTCTTGCGTCCTGTCAACGGGGTGTAGGTGCTGCCCCTCGGTGGTCTGAAAATCCGTACGGGGGCTCCATCTGGCCGGGTCCTCCAGTCTGGTATCCATAGCTGAAGCCCAGTCCACTACCGCTCCCCGAGGTAGGACCTGTATGAGTCCAGCCTGGATCGGCTGGACTCTGTCATCATGTCCAAGAGGGTGTAGCGCTCCGAATGTAAAGACGTCCATCTCCATCACCCGGGTGAGGTCCAAGTGTCGGAGCACCCACTGGCGACTGACCAAACCCTCACAGTACACTGTGAATATTTGTCCTCCAACTGGGCGGGCATCGATGAGGAGGGCAAATTTTCCAGAGACCAGCAACCACCGAGGGACAATCATTATACTCGCAAAATCTTCGTGGAGCTGGGGCGTTGTAGCCATGGCCCAATCCAACCATTCTTGGTCCATCTTTTGCGTCGAATCCAGCATTGCATCATATAGACGTTGCAGATCCAATGGAAACGGCATCGCAATGTCGACCGATTCCGCGGCAAAGTACGGTGAGCACAGCCAGGCCGAGATGTGACTTGCCCTCGGCGCATTCTCATCAATCCACTGCCACTGCTCAGGTAGTGGATCATCTTCTTCTGGTACTCCACGAACCATGACCTCAGGCACAAACTCCCTTGAGTTCTCTACAGCCATGTTGGTCCAGTGCCTGCCAGCCGCATCTGCAAGCTGTTCCCTTAAGGTCTGCTGTCCTGCTGCCCAAAGCTCGAGATCGCTAGGCATAGGGACTGCCACAGGGGCCGTCTCTCGTACCCTGTGCCAGCTGCCCTCACCACAGCCAGCATCATCTTGGTCCACATAGGGGGCCGCCCAGTTCCTTGTCTGTTCGCGAAGGGGCGGCTCCAGATACATTGTGCAACCAGCATCATGATCTGGCTGGCCATGAATGCCAGCATGAGTGACAGCATCGTAGCTCGCCACAACTCTGCCTGTTGTGGCGCCAATGTCGTCAACATAATATACCACAGAAGCTCGATCAAATCCAGCTCCTGCATGGGTCGTATTCTCCCTCGGTCGTGGCCTCCCAAAGGGCCGTGCCGATTCTGCTCCTCCACCTTGGCTGGTACCCACCGAATATCCTTGTCATGGGCTCCATCAAAATTGTGTTCTGACGCGGACTGACCGAAAAAGCCGCGGTGTTGGGGAGGGCAGCTACCCAAGCTGCACTGTCCCAGAGAGTGCTCAAGGGGGACTGGCCGAAAAAGCCCCCTGTATCGCAGCAAAATGCTGCTCATATTGCAACCATCTTCACGGGCTACTCGAGATTCTCGTCCTCTATGTGCTCCTCCGCTGGCACCGGCGCCTTGAGGTCCGTGAGGATGACATCTTCCTCGTCCGACTCCGCAATCGCTTCTGGCAAGCTGCCCTTGAGCATCTCCAGATATCGCTTTGCCTCCAGTCGCTGTGTCAAGGCCTTGGCGCCCGCAGGACGGGTCGGTCGTCTGCCAGCGGATTTGATCGCCACTCTTGGTGTTCTCTGTCTGGAGGCAGAAGCTCTGGCCGGGGAGGGGAGCAGCTCCGCCTGTGAAGGCGAGGTGATGTAGGGATCTCTGCCACAGCGTCCCCCATAAGTCGGTTCCTTGTCCTCGCTGTCGTTGTCCTTGGCGGTACTGGCTCTCGGCTCGCTTCTGTCCTTGGCGGTCGGAGTCATAGGTGCTGCTTTGGCTGCTCGCCTGGTGGGAGTTCGGAGTATGCCCGATTTGGCCGCATGCTCCGCGATCGCGTCCAGCATCTTTTGTCTTCCCACATCGTCCAGCTCCTTGCTCATAGTCTCCGCCAGGATGTCCCCAAGTTGCTTTTCTTTTGGGGCTTCCTTGAGGAGCTCCGCCAACTCTTCCACCGCTTCCTGGTCCGCCTCTGTCTGTGCCTCTTGCTCGTCCTCGTCCGGGTTCGCCAGGAGATTCTGCAGGGAGACCAGGGCGTCGAGCTTGCCCTTCTGTGCTTCCGAGGCTTCCTGTTTGATCTGGCCCATCCTTTCGTAGTATCTGCTGCGCTGCTTCAAGAAAGATTGCTTGAGTTCCAACTGGAACTTCTGCCACTTTCCTTCCACTGCAGCCTTGTCTTCTTCTAACTTTCGGAGCTTGGTCTCCGCCTTCCTGAAGCCGTTCATCATCTTCTGCATGTTCTTGGAGAATCCTTGCGAAGTTGTGGCCGCCTCCTCGGGCTGCTGCACTTCTCCATCTAGCATACGGCTTCCTTTGTGCGGGCCATCGGTCACCATCATGTCGAAGCTGGGAAACTGGGGCCCACGTGCAGCCTGTGCCGGTTCCCTCGTCCACTGTGTCTTTCCAGCACCTTTCGGCTTGCCATAGCCCTTGCTGTCCCACTGCGAATAAGCAGGCTGCTGCTGCTCCCATCCTCCACCATAACCGTAGTCTTCTCTGTGCCATGACTTCTGTCCACGTCCCATCTGACACAGCTCACGATAAGCAGGAGCGCTGTGGTGCCGTTGGAGTCGAAGTAGAGAAGACCGGGGAGGGTGTTGCCCGTTGGCCCGGGCTTGGCGGATCCGTGCCCTGTCTCGGGCCCTTTTCTGCCTTCTTCGGCGATGCCACGCGGGCGATGGAGGTCCCGCAATGGCTGCGAATGCACGTGCCTATTCCTCCGGCACTGGGGATCCGGCAATGCTGTCGCCCCTTCGCGACAGCTCGATCCAGAGCCCTATACACATACATACATACATACATACATACATACATACATACATACATACATACATACATACATACATACATACACACACGTGCGCACGCACGTGAGCATGAACGCACACCGACTACACCTCCCTCTCTCTGTGTATATGTATGTGCAAAAGTGTAGATCATGGTCGGCGAGGGGATATGTATGTGCATTCATCTCACATTTTGAATGAGGTTGCTTCGATTTGGGGCTATAGGAGCATCCTTTCTACTTCGGCAGGATAGGGTCAAAGGTCTGGAGTCTGGGGTCAACAGCGATTGTTGGCTGCTTTACGGCTGGACTGGGCTCAGCAGGGCCAATTTGCATGTATACAGCGGGGTTTTGAGCTGAGCTGGTAGAGCATGCGTGATTCCCAGATATAAAGCGGCTATGCTGCAAGAAGAGTCACTCAGGTACAAAAGCTAGCTACTCGTAGCAATGATGGTGATAGCAGTGCTTGTGGAACTGAACAAAGCTATCAACAAGATGACCTCCTTTCTGTCTCAGCACCCCGGATCGTTGCAGGCTCCCAAGCTGCATGTTGGCTGGACATGAATTCGCTTGCTGTCTGCTCAAGAGGCGCTGAACCATAAATTCCGAACTCAAAGCCTCTAAACTTCCTGCGATCCGCAAGCAAGGTATGGTAGTATAGGCTTCCAAGAGACGTTGACATAGGAGTGATGGTTCTCGGGGCCCCAAGAGTCAAGTCTTCATCACACTTTCTCGCAAGTCTCCACCGCAGAAGTCACGAAAAACTGAGCCGCCTCAGGTGGGAAAATGACCTTCGGCTGCAGAACCTGCGGCTGTCAAGGAGCTTCTGCAGGCTTGGGTGTGCTGAGGGTTATCTTTGCCGGTGAAGTTCCGACTTCAAAGCTCTCGGCAGCATCACGCGCCGACATGCTCCTCACAGCATGGGCATGCCAATGCTTGTCACCGCAATATGGAATCAACCTGGAGAGCCTGGAGCTCACGTGGGCTTGATCATACCTACCAGTAGCACGTGACTGGAAAGGGTCTCCGACAAGCCTTCCACCGACCTGCCTTTAAAGGGCTCAAGCGCAGCCTCATCCCTGAAATGCGGCTTCTACACTCTCTTTGCGCCTCTCCATCCAATGCGAAGTCGAAGCGGAGGATGTCCTATGCAGTCTAGTTAAGGGACTTGATTGGCACGATCCTCGACCAGCAGAACACCTTTTGTCAATTTTGAAGCGGCAACGAGGCGGAAAGCGTCTGAGCCAGAGAAGCGGTCAGCGCGCCCCTTCAGCGCCCTTGTCTGGCCTCGGAAACCTCGCTGTCTGCCACCACCGATGGCCCGATGGAGGCTGGTGCAGCCAGATCTTCCTCGTACCTTTCTTTTAGAAGGGTTGAGGGTTCTACAAGGGCCTTCCATAAGCGCTTCAAAAGAGTGAAAGTTTAAGGCTTCGATGGATTATTCGGGTTTTGTAGTGTCTTTTCTGTCAGTATAGGCAATACTCCGCATGATTATCGGGGTTTCAGGTGTTCCGTTGTGCTAGTAGAGAGACTCAACATGATTATTTTTGGTTTTTGATGGTTTTTCTGCTAGCCGATGATTCGGGTTTTCAAGTGTTTTGTTGTTTAGTATAGAAAGGTCAGGCAATACTCGGCAAAGTGGTTCGGGCATTCAGGTGTCTTGTTGCGCTAGTGTGGGGCCAGGCAAGACTTAGCATAATTATTAGCGTTTTCATGTGCTTTAGTAGAAGGAGATCAGGTAACATTCAGCTTGTTTGTTCGGGTTTTCAAGTGTTTTGCTGTGATAGCAGAGAATGCCTAGGCAGCAGTTAACACTGCCATTGCGGTTTTCGGATAAGGACTTGTGCAAGAACAGCAACGACAAAGTAGAGGAGGGGAGCAACAAATGTCAATGTATAGACACATACATATGATAGCTGGAGATAGAGATAGAGGTAAAGATACAGAAGAGATAGAGATAGAGATGGAGATAGACACAGAGATAGAGA